TATCTCTCTTCTATATTCATTTTATCCCAATTTCAAATTGTAAATAAATAAATAAAAAGAAGGAACAATGTAAGATTGAGACATGTATTTAATGGACAAAAGTCTTGGACCTGTTTGGTACATGATTTGAAATATGTTATTCTGAAAAACTATTCTGAATAGGATATAATATAATTAAATCAAATAGGATATGATTATGAGAATGTGTTTGATACTTTAGTACATTTTTTGGAAAACATTTAGATTACTTTAACCTTTTACATTTGGTAATTTAGCAAACAACCACCCCCCAACAATAAAAGTTTATAATTTAACAAAAACACCCCGAACAACCTAACTGACTTCTGGCAGCTAGCAGTCGCCAAAATGGTGCACAATCGACTAGATCTGCCGATCTAGCGACTAGATCCACCGTGTATTTGGCCAGAAACGACCAAATTTATGGTGGTCGTTAACAACCAAAATCTGATTTGGCTATAGATCAATGCACGATCGGCCACATTCGGCCGATCGTGCGTCTTTTCGACGCCGACAACCGACGGTGGCCAGGGTGTTGGGTGGAAAGATATAAGTCAAGGTTGGGAATAGTGATGATTCCAATAGCTAAGTGAGATGTCGGTGGCAAAGACGGCGGTTGGCGGTTGATGGTGGTTGCTGGCAGCCAATAGTGGCTTGGGTGGGTGAGGGTGTTTTTGTTCATTTATAAACTTTTATTGTGAAATATAATTGTTAATTGTTTTGAGTTAAATAAAATATGATTGGATTTTGAATTAAATTCCGTCAATGTCAAAACAAACACGTTTTTTACTGTTTACTTTAAATAAGATAATTGAGTAGAGTTTTAAAAAGTTAAACGAACAGGGGCCTAATGATTGTATCAAAACAATTTAGTATTCTTTTATTCTTCTTGCTCATAACACAATCAAGCTGTAAAGGACCCAAAAATATTTAGGCTTCGTTTGGTTGCATTTTGGGAATACTACTTTTAGTATTCCCAAAAAAGTTAAACAGTAAAATACCCAAAAACTCACAATATTATTCAATATTATTCAACTTTTTTTAAACCCCCTAAATTTGTTAATTTAATTAAATATCTCTAAATATTTTTTAAAAATTACAAAAACACCCCAACAATCCACATTTACCAGATTTCGGCCACCACTGCGGGAAAATGGCCGGAATCTGGTTCAGCCGGTAGTCCGCTGATCTAGCCTTTGCCGGCCAGATCCACCGTGGATCTGGCCGGAAAAGGCCATATCGCGGAACGACCGGCAAGATCCAGCTGGTCATGCGCCGATACGGTGACTCTGGCCACCCTCCGGCGGTGGTGGCTGGCTATCCGTATTTGAGGGTGGGTTGGGGGTGTTTTTGTTAACTTTTAATGTTTTATTATAGGAGGTATTTTGTAAAAAAATAAACATAGGGGGTATTTTAAAATTTATAAATCCTACATCGTAATACCCGCCCAATTTAACTTTTTCCAAAAAACTTTTCCCAAAAACAAAAAATTGTGAACCAAACGGAGCCTTTGGATTTTCGCAAATCACTCTTCATATATATCTTTGATACACACCGGACACAGCCCATATTGCATCTCCTTACAAAATTGAAATTTTGATTTGTTTTCTATTTTATTTTTTTTCCATTTTACATTCATGTTATCTTAATCTTTCAATCTTCAGTCTGCACAACAAAAATAAAATATAAAAATTAAAACCAACCACCCTAAAAGTTTGGCAGAAATCCTGCAGTACAGAAAACATTGATTTTAGTTTTTTGTGTTCAGTGTTGGAACTTTTTCATTTTGTGTTGTTTTTTGTAATTGTTGTTTTTGTGTTTTGATTTGATTGTTTCCCACCATTTGTATTAAATAAATGAAGAAAGTTTGGAGCTTTGAGACTTGAATTTGAAGCGCTTCCTGGGTTCGTGTGGTGCAAATAATGTAAATTTTATAACATAATGTATAGTTACTATGAGGAAGGTGGTTGGTTTGTTGATTTTGAAGTATTGTTATGAGCAAATGACATGTTGCCACCAGAGGTTTGGCGAAATCTCAGTTGGTACCATTGGTTGCATTTATTCCAAATTTCCTTCCTTAAACACTGTTTCCTTTATTTTAATAGTTGAAGGTTAAAATGGTCATATACTTTTTATTTTCTGCAAATCTCTCAAACCCACTGCCAACTATTCTTTTTCTTCTACGACCGGACCGGTCCAACTATCGATTGGCCTCTTTTTCGATCCAAGATTTCAATTTCACTATTTACTCAAATCCCTATTTTGATCAAGGGCGAACGAGGAGCTACCAAGTGCTAGAGTTAGAGGGCTTTTGTAGAGTATAGGTCGGCGGTTCAAGGGGTAGTGATGGAGTGAATTTTCGACACCGGAATAAGCTATAATTTGGCCAAAAAATTCAACCCAATATGGGAGTCACGGCTGGCGAATGGGAGGCTACCAAGTGTCGGGGTTAGAGGAATTTTGTAGAGCGGAGGCCGGTGGTTTAGGTGGTGGTGTTTGATTGAATTTTGGAGGCCATAATAAGCCGAAATTTGGCTGAAAAAATCAACCCAATCGCGGCGGTGTTCGTGAGTCACGACCGGCAAACGGAGGGCTACCAAGTTCCAAGGTTAGAGGGGCTTTGTAGAGTGGAGCTTTGATGGTTCAAGTGGTGGTGTCAAATTGAATTTTGGCTATCGGAATCAGCCGAAATTTGGCTGGAAAAGTCAAAACCAAAACAGATAACAGGGGTATATTTGCTTTATTTTAAATCTGTAGGGACTGAAATGTAGTTTTTAGGGGTGTGTTTGTAAGAATTTAAACTTTTTGGACCGCCGATTAAACTAACAGTTTAACCGGTCGTGAATCGGGACCTTGACCGGGTCAAGGCTCAGTCCGGTTTTCAGAACATTACTTCAACCCATTCTTCTTCTTCCTCTTTTATCACAACACTCAAAATGTGCCCAGACTCAGAGATTAAACCTTTTCTTCTTCTTCATTTACCCTTTTCTTTTGAGTGGGTATTTTATGGGCATTCTTCTTCTTCTTCTTCTTCTTCTTCTGCTTTGGCTAAAATGTGCCTCAGAAGATAAAGCCAAAGAAGAAGAAGAAGAATGCCCATAAAATACCCAATTAGAAGAAAAAGGTAAATGAAGAAAGAAAAGGTTTAATCTATGAGTATGGGCACATTTTGAGTGCGATAAAAGAAAAAGAAGAATGGGTAGAAGAAAAAGAAGAGGCAGCATTAGGTTTGAGAGATTTGCAGAAAATAAAAAAAATAAAATAAAAATGACTATTTTAACCTTCAACTGTTAAAATAAAGGAAACAGTGTTAGTTTAAGGATGTGAATTGGAATACATGCAGCCAGGGGTACCAACTTGAAATTTTGCCAAACCTCGAGTAGGAACATGTCATTTGCTCTATTATTATTGATATTTGGTTGAAAATGAGACCACCCACATTACAAAAAAAATAATGATGATACCAAAGATCAGTTAAAGGTTTAGATTGTTGATTAATTTTTAAAATAAGGGTAAAATAGACATTTGATACAATTTTTAACGAAAAATTAATGGAATCCATTTACAGGGTTGTTCCTGATGAAGTTTTGTAAACTTTTAGAGTTGGTGATAGTTGACATTCAAATGATGATTTAGCAAATATGAGAGGAGGTAATTAATTTTTAACTGTTAATTAAAGAGTTAATTACATTGACCACCTCTGAGGTTTCAACATTTCAGAGCACTTAGAAAAAATGATTAGGTTAACATTGACAACCCACTTTGGTAACTTCTATTAAGGCTGTAGCACCTAAAAAGCTCTCTTTACACCCCCTCAAACATAAAAACCTGACAATTACCCCACTAACTTATGTATAAGGATCAAACTGGAAACCCCTATCCCTTTGAACAAGAAGATTATCTGAGGTTAACCTCGACGAACTATTACAACGATACCGTGTGATGTTGATGAGAATGTTTGAAGTCTAATGCTAGTACAAGAATGACGTTATTGCTTGATTATATTTTGACACCAGTTTCATCGAAAATAATCATATAATATTGCGACATGGTTCGCATAGGGGTGATGTAATTTTATGATATTTTTGCTGCATTGTTATAAATGTGGTCGGAGATGATATTTTTCCCGGCAACGTTGAGGTTGCTTACAATTTGGCGTAGTAGATTTTCTGCAAAGTAAAGTGAGCTGGCCGGTGGGGTTGCTGCATATGCTGGTCATAAGTACTACCACTCGAATGCAGAATTAGCAACAATATAATTTTGCCATGTCGATCAAATACATTCATGCTTCAAACATACCTAACTTGTTTAGCTTTCTTTACACAAACCAAAATTTTATAGTGAAAAAAATATATGTATATTTATGGACTTCTCTATTTTTTATCATTAGTATTATTATAACCTATGATAATTATGATGGGTTATAAAGGTAGTCAAATGTTGGCTTTGTGATTTGCTTTTAGCAATAAGGGTTCTTCTTGTTTTTTGAATATTGTATGGCATGATTAAAAACTATATAAATCATAAAAGATTATAAAGTACCTTAGAGTTTATAATTCACACTTCAAAGCCCAATTATGATACTTTATCGATAATATTACAAAACTTGTGACCAATTTGCTTGGCTAAACTATCCAAAAACGTGGTGCCCGTTTTAAAAGTGTCACGCAATGGACCTAACCAAACTTCAACTGCCACTGTTCAATTTCATTTGCTAAAAAGTTGAGTTTGAATAAATGAGGCGGGTACTACCAAAACCATGTCTTCATTTAAAGAAAGAAACAAAGATATAATCTAATGGGTTCGGGTTTTTTGGCCAGGAGTCCAGGACCCAATCAGGCCGTGCCAACCCGACACTATCCCATTGCCAGCTCATCATACAAACAACCACCTGCACCCCCACGCGCATCCTCACGTAGCACGCGCTTCCTTATCTAAAGAAAAACAAATATTAGGAAAAAAACTCATTCACAGAAAGCGAATCGTGAAGTAATACTGAGCACAAATTACTTGTGTCCCAAACAGCCGTTGAGTGTTCCTATATCAATCCGCCATTTCCAATACGGCGTCGTTCTCATCGTCACTCTCTCTCCACCCTTCATTTTATTACATTACAGGGCCAAAGCAAAAACAAAAGCAAAGCAAAAAGATTGGATGACGATCTCTAGAGACAGTCTTTTGAAATTTTAGCTCTGAAATTTGGTTGTGAGTGAAGTAGGGTTTTGGTTTAGTAATGGCGGAGAACAAGAACCGGTGGAACTGGGAGGTGAGTGGCTTCGAGCCGACGAAGACGTCGTCGTCGTCATCCTCCACGTCGCCGTTCGACCGCCCCGAGGACCAGCGGCCAGCTGTTGCACCTCTGGTTCGGCGCTACTCGATATCTGCCACGTCGGTTTCGCCGCATTCTCCGGAGATTTCGAGGCAGGCGCTTGCTACTAAGGTTCAGCGATTGAAGGATAAACTTAAGGTAGTGTGTTTATTATTATTGATTGAGTTTGTAGGCTGATGGTTTGATTTGGTGGTGTTAAGGGCAATGTGTGTAGTGATTAGTGAGTTTGAGTGTGACAGTGATGTTAAGAAGTGAATAATTTGTTACAGAGTTATTTTCTTGAATGTGAGAGGCAATTATGTTTCGAAAAGAATTTATTCAGGAAATAGGAAAATGCTATTTTAATGTTCTTAACTAAGTTCAATTGCAGTTTAGGGTTATACTTTTGGTTAGGACTAGCTTCTCCTTGGTGGAGGACTGGAAGTCTTTAGTTTGATACTGCTAGACTGTTTGATTTTGTTGGCATTTGAGACATGGAGTATATCATTAGTCTGCAAATGTTGGTTTTTGAAACTTTTGAGTTGGAGGGGTGAATCTGAATTTATGCCGGAGTTGTGAAGAAGTAGATTAGTTGAGGTCCTTGAGGACTTTGAGGCATTGTAAGTGAAACAACAAGGTATGACCTTATTTCTTTAAGGAAGTTTAGAACTGTCGTCCATTGGCACCAGAGCTTGCTTGGTGATCCAATCCTACTCGGGTAGGTTTCTCAGGGTTAATATTGAATTTTGCACTGCCTTTGTTTAATGCACATTACTGCAACCAAAACATTTGCATTTAGGTGATTTGTGTGGGCTTTTTATTGGGTGGGTAGTGACAAGTTTTTCTTTTTTGCGGGCTTTCAGTGGGACAACAGTCAGTAAAAGTTTGGCAGTGAACTCTGGTTAACTATATTGGGAAGTGCTGAAAACTACCGTGGTTACCAACTGATGGTTGAAAAGTTAGTTGTCTCAAATTAGTGCACGTCTCAAGAAGTTCATTCTGTTTGATAACTATTTAAAGAATCTAATTTTCTTCTTTCTAATTTAAGTGTCCAAGATTCTGTAATATCAGGATGATTTCTGTTAATAACTTTTTTTAACCATACTTTACGCAAGCTATACTATTTGCAAGTCTAGTTATACATGCAGATTGAGTATCAGATTTTTGAAAATTGGAATTCAAAAGAAAGAAAAGAAAAAAGAAATTGTGAGTGAAATATCGAGGTACCTCTTGATTTAAACCTTTCCACACATAGTGACCTGGAATGCAAGATGTCTCTGGCAAATTGTTCAGCTTTTGCTGAGTGCTGGAATCACATGTGCTGGTAGATGTATTGGAGACCCCTTTTTTCTATTTTAGGTTATATCGATATCAAGGTAGATCAAGAGTTGCAAATTTATCTTGGGGACATTCTTTGAGCTTTAGTACTTTGCTCTTTTCTGTAAGATTACATTGGGGTCAGATGGTTGATTTGACTATAGTATGATGCACTTGTTTCATGAATTCCTAATACTTGTTTCACATTATTTTGACAGCTAGCAAAAGAAGATTACTTGGGATTGAGGCAAGAAGCAAGTGATCTGCAGGAGTACTCTAATGCAAAGCTTGACCGAGTTACACGTTATCTCGGTGTTCTTGCTGAGAAAACCCGTAAGCTAGGTATATACCCAAGTCACTCGTATCGTCCATGCTAAAATTATGAATTTTTTTCCCCAAATTAAGGACTATGTTTGGTTTGAGATTTTGAATTGAATGAGACTACATATCTAAGCTCATGTCTATTGGGATACTATGTTTGAAATGGATATTGGAGAACATTTCCGTGAAGTGTAACAGAGCAATTATGGTGGATATTATTCCATGCTGAAATAACATACTTATGAAACACATGCAATGATTTTGTTTCTCTAATTGTCACTCCCTGCACTATCTTGTCTACTGTCTCTCTAGCTTGTATTGTTGTTGGGTTCTGCTAGTGGTTTTAAGTTTTTACTTAAATTTAAATGTCAGATCAAGTTGCCATCGAAACTGAAGCTAGAATATCTCCACTGATCAATGAAAAGAAAAGATTGTTCAATGACTTGTTGACGTCCAAAGGTACTCATTTTTTGATTTACCATCTCTCTTTCTCTCTCTCTGTCTATCTGTCTATCTATCTGTCTGTCTTCTTCTCTCTCTGCCTCTAGCAGACACACAAATGCAGAGATTTGCACATACTCTATGCACACAAAAGCTTTTATCCTTACAATATTTTCTGTATTTATTCTAAGATCTGCTTCTCATAGATTCTTTGTTTTTGTATTTATCATGTTTGAGAAACTAGATTGTTTGTTTCAGGAAACATAAAGGTATTTTGCCGCACGAGGCCATTATTTGAAGACGAAGGTCATTCAGTTGTTGAATTTCCTGATGATTGCACTATTCGTGTCAATACCCGTGATGATTCCATCTCCAACCCCAAGAAGGATTTTGAATTTGACCGAGTTTATGGACCTCATGTTGGACAAGGTGACATAAAATTTTCTTTAATCATCTTTCTCAATCATTTTATAAGTTAATTTTTTTATATTCCCTCCTTAGTCACACATGATTTAATAATTAGACTATTGAAATGCCTTAGAAAAATTCTTATTGAGGTATTTCTGTGCAGCTGAGCTGTTCAGTGATGTACAGCCACTGGTGCAATCAGCTTTGGATGGATTTAACGTTTCTATATTTGCTTATGGGCAAACTCACTCAGGAAAGACGCACACAATGGTGCCCTCTCTCTCTCTTCCCCCTTGGGTTCTTCCATTGGAAAATTTACTAAAGCTTGTGCTTTAACATTTTTCATTGCCCAGTATAAAGAATATACTTGTTAAAGCTGGCTTAGCTATTGATTAAACTAGATTAATTGTTGTTTTTCATCAACTATCTGCAACTCTTGTTGCATAAAATATCTTTCTGTCTTGTTTTGTTATTTTCCTGTTTTCGTTCTTTTGGAATTAACTGGCAATTGGTTTACTTTGATGATCATCACATCGGTTGAACTGGCTGTTTGTGCTTTACTGCTGGTGCTTTAAGGTTTTGCAGGGCCTCATTCTTTTGTGAAGTCTCTTGCTTTCCTGACATGTTTCTGATTTGCCCAGGAAGGATCAAGCCACGATCGTGGTCTGTATGCTCGCTGTTTTGAGGAATTGTTTGATTTATCTAACTCGGATTCAACTTCAACTTCTCGATTCAAATTCTCTGTTACAGTTTTTGAGCTCTATAATGAGCAGGTTTATTCCCCTCGATCACTAACCAATCATTGCACTTCCTGTCCATTGCTTATCTTTATTATCTTCTGGTTTTTATTTATAGTGTCATCAAAATTTTCTGATTCAGACCCTTTTCTTGTTCCTGTAGATAAGGGATTTGCTCTCAGAATCAGGAAGCAGTTTATCAATGGTTCGCTTAGGAACGGCAGAATCTTTTATAGAACTTGTACAGGAAAAAGTTGATAATCCATTGGAGTTCTCTAAAGTCTTGAAATCTGCATTTCAAAGCCGGGGAAATGATGTTTTGAAGTTCAATGTTTCTCATTTGTATGTTCTCTTTGTACTATTAAAGTTTCCATCTCATTATTTTACTTTTGTTTTCATTCTCTTTCTCTTTTCCCCTATAACATTTGATGATCTCCTTTCTAGTTCTATGACCATGCTTCTTCGCTGAGAGAGAAAATTTGACCATGCCTTGGGTTAAATTAAATTTTTATTTAAAGTACAGATATGCCCTATAAAGTCTGTTTAAACAAGGTCCTGACACATTATTGTCAAAGAGTACTAAGTTTAATTTGAGACAAGTTATTCCTAGTAGTTTTTTTTTTTTTTCTCTTTTCGGTATTATTGTCGTATTTTTGAGCTTGTCAAAGCATTCTGGAATAGCTAATAAATATCTAAGCTCTTTGATATCAACTCATTTTTGAACAATCTAATATTAGTGACCTTTATGAACTTGACAAAATGTAAACGGAGAATCTGATTTTAGTTAATTGATTTTTTCTTTATTTGATCAACTAATTGGAGCACATGTAGCAGGTTATGACCTTGATGAAGTTGATCTAGTAGATCATTTGTTAATCGTATGACTAAAGTTGAATACTAAGTTTCATGAAAAGAATTATTTGAACTGGTAATGGTGTCACATAAGTAGCATTTACTCATAAATTTGATAGAATATTGTTTGAAATATTACTGTATGTTGAATAGGGTTTATTGAATGGATAGACTAAGTAGATATTATTTATTTGAACTGGTAATGGCGCCACATAAGTAGCATTTACTCATAAATTTGATAGAATATTGTTTGAAATATTACTGTATGTTGAATAGGGTTTATTGAATGGATAGACTAAGTAGATATTATTTTTTTGAACTGGTAATGGCGCCACATAAGTAGCATTTACTCATAAATTTGATAGAATATTGTTTGAAATATTACTGTATGTTGAATAGGGTTTATTGAATGGATAGACTAAGTAGATATTATTTATTTGAACTGGTAATGGCGCCACATAAGTAGCATTTACTCATAAATTTGATAGAATATTGTTTGAAATATTACTGTATGTTGAATAGGGTTTATTGAATGGATAGACTAAGTAGATATTATTTTTTTTTCTTGATAGGACCTTCAATCATGTCCTGTATCATCAGTTAGTTTTTGTTTTTGGCCTGTCTTGAGCCAGGCATGTATGTACATACTGTGGAAGCTTGCTCTTTTTTATGTAATACTCTCTTCAATTTATATAAGTTTTCTTGAGTTTCATAGTAAAAAGAGTTTCAATAGTCTTTAAGGTTCAAAAGCCATAATTGATTGAATGTAACAAACTTCCTAGGATAATTCTGTAAAAGTATCCATAGAGTTCAAATATTCCAAGGCTATAGTTATAGTGAAGGAGGTGCTGAATTTAGTTCAAGATTTTTTCTGGATCTCTTGGATAGGGTTTTGGGGGTATAATTATTTTTTAAGGGGCTGATCTGTTACTCTCGGAAAAAGGGGCTTGTCTGTAGATTTCATTAAAAAATTCAGTGTATCAGCAAGGAAAATGGAAAGCAGATAAGGAAACAGTAGAAAATAGGGCTCAATTAAGAAATGAGCATCTTCCTGACTGTTCTTTAAGACATTCACAGAAGTTTTTTCACTTTTTGAGAGGTTTGATAAGAAAATAGAGGATAACTAATACAACATGCAAGTAGAGATGATTGCTTCCCGACTTTCTTCCAAACTCTTTCAATGTTTGTGCAGTTTCTGAAAAGCAATTGAAATTTTAATGTAAATTGTTGCATTGTATGTACATGTGTCATGTATGCATGCCCATTGTTCTGATAGTAAGTGCTATTCTCTAATTCGATTGTGTGGATTCTGTGTCTCATTTTGGCAGGATTATCATGATACACATATATTATAACAATTTGATCACTGGAGAAAACACTTATAGTAAGCTTTGTCTTGTTGACTTGGCTGGAAGTGAAGGTCTGATAACAGAAGATGATAGTGGGGAGCGTGTAACTGATTTGCTGCATGTCATGAAATCACTTTCAGCGTATGCCTTGTTAAACTCTCCTGCTTCTCCATTGAATTAATTAATTAATTGTTCTGCACTAGTAGCAACAAATTGCCACTCATGGTTGCTGCTTGTGTATGAAGTGTTATGTTGGAATACTTCCAAAGATAGGAATTTCATTTCTGCTTTCTCTTTGTGGAGTTGTTGCTGCATTTTATGGTTTCCTATTAAAAAAAAGAAAAGGGTTCGTATAGTAATAGTTGCAATTCAAGGTTGTGTGCTTTCTAGTTAATTAAACGAGAAAATTAGTTAGCTCATTTCCTAGGCTTGGTTAGTGGGAAACAAGAGTGTATTTGTAATTTACTCGTTTGCTTTAATAATCATGGTAGTAAGATTAGCATGCAACACTTTCATGTTTTCTGAAGTCTCTTCTGTCACTATGCAATTTCTTATTCAATTGTCTGTTAAATTTGTAGGCTGGGAGATGTTTTGTCGTCCCTGACTTCAAGAAAGGATATTGTTCCTTACGAAAATTCAATGCTTACCAAAGTATTTGCGGACTCTCTAGGTACCAAATTCTTCTTCTTGTGTGCATAAGTTTTGGTGGCACTTTTATGATGGTCAGACTTGTAAGAGCAACAGAAGATATATTATTGTGGAAAATGGTAATAAAAGTATTCTTATCATTATGTCCTTTTCTTAATGCACTTAAATCCTTTTATTGCTCTATGTCTTGTCCCTGTTTCTTGGAAAGAGGTGGCCCAAGAGATTCACGGGTTCATTTCAGTTCTTAAACTATTTGGGCCCATTTTTGCGGCAGTGGTAACAATTGACAAGTGAGGAAAAGTGCCTCCCCTCCCTCGTCTGCCACCAACCAAATAAAAGTTTAGAGATGAATTTTCCCAAAAAATTGGTCTACTTATGAAATTAGTTCCATCTATTTATTTGGAATAAGTAGGAAACCATGAATCCCATAGATTCTTCTTAGTTGTCCTTCTAAAAGATGCCAAATGGGACTCATTATGCTCCTGGTTCTTAGGTTAACTCCCCTTTGGTTATGTGAAGGAAAAAGAATTGAAATTGTACAGACTCTATTAATACTTTTGATCATAATCTTCCATAGATTGATGGCCTGTAATTTTATTGTTTAAAATACTCTTACTTAAAGGTAAAGATTTCATTTCATATAAAAAGCTTAGAACAATAGAAAATTACATATTCAAGCAGTACTCTGGAAAATCTTAGCTTGGAAGGAGTGGTACGGTTTTAAGTTTGCTCAGAAAGTTGGATTGCAAACTTTGTAAAGTCCTGATTTGGTTTTATTCATTTTGGAAAGTTAGCAATTTTGTAGAAAATACCATATCTGCTTTGTTTTGTTATTCTACATCATATAGGATACAAGATATGTCTGTTTTTTGAGTGAGAATGGGATCTGTCAAGAACAAGGTTGGCAATTAAGTGCTAAACCACTAAAATTTGTTTGATGCATTATTTGGAACTCAGAGTGCTGGTATGTAATGACTTTACTTTTATTTTTATTTGTGGGTGATTATCCTTCGTGAGATTAACTGCCTTCATAATGTTCCAGCTTTCCTGGCTGTTGTCTGCTTGTGAATGTTTCGTTTGTTTCATTATGCATGAAATTATTTACTTTCTTTTTTCTCTTTTAATATATTCTTTTTGACAGATATCTATTGACAAACCGTTTCAATCAATATTTCTTATTTTTGTATTTCTGCAGGTGGAAACTCAAAAACTTTAATGATAGTTAATGTATGTCCAAATGCTGTGAATTTGTCTGAGACACTATCATCTCTCAATTTCTCTGCTAGAGCTCGTAATGCTGTTCTAAGCCTTGGAAATCGAGATACAATTAAGAAATGGAGAGATATTGTAAGTTTCCTACTTTTGTTTTAATCTCTGTTACAATGCATCGTTTATTTCAACATATGCTGCTTTTTGCTGTAATTAACTTATATTTAATGAACAAAATGTGTCTTTCAGTAGGATAATACCTCGATATGAAGGTGTATGGCGAGGGGAGTACTCTTATCTGATCACTACTATTAATATCTAGAAATACTTTTTATTAGCGAGTAAGACATTACAACAATTCGGTCCCTTTGAATAAAGAAAAAAAAAAAAAATGAAATGAACTGTTTTGGGACTGAAGCCTGAAATGAGGAGAACATGAAATGAATGAATATCCGATAGCTTACCTGCATCCTCATTCACTGGTCTTTAAAGCTCCTCTTATTTCTTCATTTTAAATAACCCAAATAGCAGCAAGAATAGGACATCTCCTCAAGGCCAGGGCTTTCTCTCTCCAGATGCAGAATTATGTCAATGAACAATGAAAAGAATGTTCAATAAGCATTCTGATAATATTTGGATTTACAATTATGCTGCTTTTGTGAAATGATAACTGGCAAGGGCTTTATATTGATGAGATAACTAGAAAGCTTTAGAGATGTTATTAACTGAACAAAATTAAGGAGGGAAGCATCTCAGCTACATTTCAATCTAGGAATTGATTTGAGGTCCCTATGATTGGGTGCTTCTTATGTCTGTTCTCTCGAAAGTTTGATAGATCAAATAGGAACTTTCTGGAGTTCTCCATGCTTAGTCAAGTCTATGTTTTGGTAACGCACAGATGTATTGCCCGAACTTACATTTTTTATTATGTGTGATGATTCTTGTAGGCAAATGATGCACGTAAGGAGTTGTATGAAAGGGAAAAGGAAATCCAAGATCTTAAACAAGAGACTGTGGGACTAAGACAGTCGCTTAAAGAAGCAAATGATCAGTGTATCCTACTCTACAATGAAGTTCAGAAAGCGTGGAAAGTGTCTTTAACACTACAGTCAGATTTAAAGGTTTTGTAACTTCATGAGTTTGGTATAGTTTTCCAATTGTGTAACATGTTACTTGGCACTTTGGAATTGCTTTTCATTCTTTTTTTAACATTCCTGGCTTATTCTTCCCTTCTCTCTCTCTCTCTCTCTCTTTTGCTTTTGCCATAATAGACTTTTAGTATTCAGAAATTGTCCATGGTCCATAAAAATTAAATGTATTCTGCTAGAGTATATTGTATAGTCAAATTCTTGCCTTCTTTCTGCACAATAAGATGACTTAACTGATATTTTCTCTTACTTCTTCATCAAGTGTCATTCCAGGTAAAATAAGAATGCATGGGTTTAGGTTATTTTTTTGTGTTTTAGTGTTACATATGTAATCTTAAGTAAGGGTGTAATGGGTGGTCCTACTCCTTGTCTGTGAAGTTTTCTGCACCGTTGATTAGCCAATTTAAGTTCACAGTAAACTTCCTCCATTTAGTTAACTTGCTTGGGCTTCAGACTCTGTTGTTTTCAGACTTGTGAAAGGCTATACTTTGTCTGCTTTGCTGTATTTTGTGGTTGTAGGTGTGTATTGTGGCATTTGTACTTGTGCATTTCTTGTTAAAAATAGGTATTGGCACTTCAGGTAAATCATATCGCTAATCTTTTTTATCAATTTTGTTTGATGCAGTCTGAGAATCTGATGCTTGCTGACAAGCATAAGATAGAGAAGGAACAAAACGCTCAGCTCAGAAATCAGGTAGCTCAACTATTACATTTGGAACAGGAACAAAAGATACAGATTCAACAAAGAGATTCCATAATTCAGACATTGCAGGTTGGTCTTCAGCAACTTTATATGTCTATCCATGTATATGTTTAGAAGAAAAAGGTTTTTGTGCAATGCCCTGGAGATTTTTAATTTTTTTTTGGGCCTTGCCACAGCTTGTTTGTTCACCTTGCAACAATTTTCACGGCAATCAAGCATATATGTTTTCCTAGATATGAATGCTACATACACTGCTCTGATTATAGGGTGATGGTAATTCACCCCAAGTCAAAGCTGATGGTGATGGATTAATGTGTGCTCCTGTTTTTTCTATTATTGATGCATATATTTTTTTTTTTCCAGACCTGAAGGAGTATTTGCTAGCAATGGCAAAGACATATATGTCCATACAAATATTTTTGGTGTTTTAATATTTTATGTTTGACTGTTATTTTACTGAAATTTTCTTCACTAATTGTAGTTTGAGCTCTCTAGTTTCAATTATATTGAATAAACAGCTCTGGGTAGGGAAGTTTCTTCTTGTGGATTACTAAATTTTCTTAATCTTTTTCTTTCACATTGCCCAACTGGCCCTAGTCCTTGAAAACAATATAGTAATTGCTTAACTAAATCTCATAAGAGTTTTTTGTCAGCTCAGATGTATGTAACCCAGAGCCATTTTGGCAAACACTAAATTTCTGTCATTAGTAGAGACAGCAACCATATGGCATAGTTTTTTATGAGATTTTTTGTTTGTGCACTTGACTATCATTCTTAGATTTTTATTGATACGTCATGATTATTGTTTATTGGGTTTCTACTTTGAACTACTTGTAACCTTTATCATAACGTTGCCAGCTTTTGTGTTTCATTTATATATTCCAACTTTTAGTGAGAAAAAGTTCGAGTTGTATTATGGTCATCTCTATGGAAAATTTAACTACATGTTTCTGTTTATCCTGATCATATAATTTCTATAACATGGTTGAATGATTATATTGATTCTCCTGTTTTTAATCTCTCATCCAGGCCAAGATTAAAAACATTGAATCTCAACTCAATGAAGCACTTCATTCAAGTGAAGTAAGGTCAACACCTGGCTCAGCACCAGGACATGCTCTGTCATCAATATCCAAGGCAACTGAGGATGGCATGGATTCTTCAGCAGTAACCAAAAAACTGGAGGAAGAACTTAAAAAACGTGATGCTCTCATTGAGGTGTGCTGTAATTCATATTTTGGCTTTTTAAGTCATTAAAGTGTAGGAATCTACAATTTTGACCTTATTTTTTTTTTTTTTTTCGTGTTGTCAACTTCAACATGTCTTGTCTCTGGCATAGTTGTCACTGGTCCTCTGTGTAAGTTGTTACTAATTAAAGTTTGAATAATGGACCTCTAAAATCGAGAAGACATACTTTCCTTCTTTTAGAATGGAACTTAATGCTATAATAAAGTATCTTTCTTTGATTATTGGTTGGATGGGGTTGATTTCTCGCTAAAATAATGGTTATATCTCCTGAAAGTTGTTGTTTTATCATGAAGCTTTGGAATTTGTGTCTGTTGTCTATTGTATATCTTCTTTTTAATCCTTTCAAAATTAAGGTGGACTTGTGCTTTCAATATGGTTTCCTTATAGGTATGTTTGATTTATTGCTTGTGCAGAGGTTGCACGAAGAAAATGAGAAATTGTTTGATAGATTAACAGAGAAAGCATCAGTAGTTGGTTCACCCCAGGTAGTTTTTCTTCCTTGCACAGTGTAACAGGTGCTTTTATTCTTTTGTAAATGTTGTTCATTTGTCTAACTTTGTTGTCTTTCTTTTCAGGTATCAAGTCCATTATCAAAAGGACTAGTGAATGTTCAGTCACGGGACTCGGCCCGGTATGTGTTTTAGCCAAGTTTGAAAAAGTTGCTGTGATTGTTCTGGGACTTTCATATTCCCTTTTCCTTGGTACCTTAATAGTTGGTTATTGAACTCTGTGATTATTTATGAACAGGAATGATAGTAACAATAAAGGACGCTCTATGGATGCTGTTCCTTCCCCATTATCTGCCGAGAAGACTGAAGGGACAATGGCTTTGGTTAAATCAAGTTCTGATAAAGTTAAATCTACCCCAGCTGGAGAATATCTTACTACTGCATTAAATGACTTTGACCCAGAACAATATGACAGCCTTGCTGCCATATCAGATGGAGCAAACAAGCTTCTGATGCTGGTACGTTTATTCCTGGCTTGTCCATTTGAGACTGTAATCTTGCTGTCACATAATGATCTGTGCTGTTCAAGTGAAGATCTACAATGGTGTCATTTATGTTCTACATTTAAGCTTGTGGAAAAGGTCAAAAAGGTCCTTCTAATGTTTACACTTGAGGATGAGATTGTAGAAACTAGACTAACATTGATGTTGCTTTTAATCATTAACTCAATATATTCAAGTTGGATAGGCCTGTCAAATATTTGATTAACAAATATGTCTTTGAAAATATTTTGAAAAATGAAAGTGGAATTTATTTTATTTTTTTTTTAATACTTTCAAGATTGAGAAATGAGTCTGGTACTGTATTTCAAACTAGTTTTCTGAGTCTGTATTTGGTAGGGATTAGTAGGAAATAATTTTTTGTATTCTCTTTGAGTTTTGTATTTTCAAGATTTAGAAATGAATCTGGTACTTTTTTAGTTTTCTGAGATAAAAAACAATGGAAATTCCTCTATTAAAAAAGAAAAAGATTTTAAGAAGGCAACACCTTAATCTGTACGTAGCAATTACTTTCTAATCACCAAGCCCATGTAGCTGGTGGTATGTTAGATTGGTTTCAAATGTGTACCATAGCATATTTGCTGCTTTTGGGTTTGAAAATGTAACAATGTGCTCTCTCACTTTCTGCTGATGTGTTGGACTTTTTTTGCCGTTAAGTGTGATAAAAAGAATGAGCATTTCCATGATAACTTTCCATTTATTTCAGGTTTTGGCAGCGGTTATTAAAGCAGGAGCATCTAGAGAGCATGAAATACTTGCTGAAATCAGAGATGCCGTCTTCTCTTTTATTCGTAAAATGGAACCTAAGAGGGTGATGGACACCATGCTTGTTTCACGTGTCAGAATTTTGTATATAAGATCGTTGCTTTCTAGATCACCTGAGCTGCAGTCCATCAAGGTACATACTCAAGATGCTATCATATTACTTGGTTTCCTCTGTTGACTATATGCTATCACTTGATTTTTATTGAGATCAGCGTGTTTTTATTCCATTTGTAGGTTTCCCCTGTTGAATGCTTTTTAGAAAAGGCTAATTCTGGACGCAGTAGAAGCTCCAGTCGAAGTAGCAGCCCCGGAAGATCTCCTGTGCGTTATGTTGATGAGCAGATCCAAGGCTTTAAAGTAAATATAAAGCCGGAAAAGAAGTCCAAGTTATCTACAGTCGTTTTGAGAATGCGAGGAATTGATCAGGTGGCTTTTTTGTCCCCTCTGCCTTCTCTTTTTTCTTTTTTCTTTTTTAATTATTATTATTTTACAATTTGGCTTATTTTCATTTGTTATCATCAATGCCTATCTACGACTCATTGTCAATATTTCTATTGGATTTTATCTTTAGATATTTCATGTTCTAATGAACAGAAAATTTTCTTATGTGATCAAATTTGCAGGATACTTGGAGGCAGCAGGTTACGGGTGGAAAGCTAAGGGAAATACAAGAGGAAGCCAAAAGTTTTGCTATAGGAAATAAGGCTCTTGCTGCTCTTTTTGTCCATACCCCAGCTGGCGAGCTTCAGCGGCAAATTAGGTCCTGGCTTGCCGAAAACTTTGAGTTTCTTTCTGTCACAGGAGATGATGCATNTTGTATATAAGATCGTTGCTTTCTAGATCACCTGAGCTGCAGTCCATCAAGGTACGTACTCAAGATGCTATCATATTACTTGGTTTCCTCTGTTGACTATATGCTATCACTTGCTTTTTATTGAGATCAGTGTGTTTTTATTCCATTTGTAGGTTTCCCCTGTTGAATGCTTTTTAGAAAAGGCTAATTCTGGACGCAGTAGAAGCTCCAGTCGAAGTAGCAGCCCCGGAAGATCTCCTGTGCGTTATGTTGATGAGCAGATCCAAGGCTTTAAAGTAAATATAAAGCCGGAAAAGAAGTCCAAGTTATCTACAGTCGTTTTGAGAATGCGAGGAATTGATCAGGTGGCTTTTTTGTCCCCTCTGCCTTCTCTTTTTTCTTTTTTCTTTTTTAATTATTATTATTTTACAATTTGGCTTATTTTCATTTGTTATCATCAATGCCTATCTACGACTCATTGTCAATATTTCTATTGGATTTTATCTTTAGATATTTCATGTTCTAATGAACAGAAAATTTTCTTATGTGATCAAATTTGCAGGATACTTGGAGGCAGCAGGTTACGGGTGGAAAGCTAAGGGAAATACAAGAGGAAGCCAAAAGTTTTGCTATAGGAAATAAGGCTCTTGCTGCTCTTTTTGTCCATACCCCAGCTGGCGAGCTTCAGCGGCAAATTAGGTCCTGGCTTGCCGAAAACTTTGAGTTTCTTTCTGTCACAGGAGATGATGCATCCGGGGGAACCACTGGTCAGTTAGAACTTCTTTCAACTGCAATTATGGATGGTTGGATGGCGGGTCTCGGTGCTGCTCTGCCTCCAAATACTGATGCACTTGGCCAACTTCTGTCCGAGTATTCAAAGCGGGTCTATAATTCTCAGTTGCAGCACTTGAAGGTATGCCTTGATTCATTGCTAGGACCTTTTCTTGGAGAGCACCTTTTTCTTCTGGATGAAAAATTAGCTTACTTTAAATGCCTGTGGAATGTGAATTAGAAAACTTTCCTAGTACTATTAAATTGCTTAGCAAAATGGATCCGCATTCTCATAGATGAAGATGCTAATTCTTTGTTCAGTAAATTGTCTTTGTCTTTGTACATACACAAATTTTTTGTGGAAGTCAGTTCTTGGATAAAGCTCTCCCTGCTGAATAGTTGGTTGGCATGAATTTCCATTGACGCAAGTTTTCAGTATTGTGATTTTGTTTGGTAGTTTACCGCTTGATCTTTAATAAGTTATTTCTTTATTCGGTTGGCTTTGCTGGGATGGTTATAAATCTGGAGCTGTGGGTTTTATTTTTTTGTTGGCATGTAATCATATTTATGCAGCACATGACTTCATCATTTTAAGAGTGATGCTTCACATACACTCTATATAGACTCATATATGGAATGTTACCTTCTTGCGTGTTAGTCACACCATTTATGTTATTTTGTTTAATTTTGTTTTAGTTTCCGTTCTTTCAATCACATCATATCACAAGTTTATATATGTAACATTATTCTTATTCAAATAAAGTAAGAGTTGTAAATTGAGCTAAGTAGGCACTAGTATGGCTTGAGTGTTATACAAAGTTGGGCCAGCATGGCATAGGACCCATTGTGGAATTATGTTGGCTTAGATTTTAAATGTAAAAGTTTTGAGGGCTGATATATGGACCAGTGAGAAAACGTGTATAATTGCTTATAATTTCTAAAATTAGTTGTAGTGAAACTTACGAATTAATTTGGGAGATGTCTTATTAATGGGGGTGGGGAATATGAAAGTAACATGCCAACACAACATGGATAGTCTTATTTTCTGGGTATGGGCATGGTGCGTAGGATGACTGAGCCATGTTTCAGGGATGGGTCAATTTGGTATGACAATTTGACCTCTTGTTGGAAGGGCATCAATTTACTACTTTACGATGCATATGTTGTTGGAGAATGGCCTGTACCAAGTTTCTCTGGTATGGCTGTGGGCTGCATCTTAGTTGTATGNTTATGTTGGCTTAGATTTTAAATGTAAAAGTTTTGAGGGCTGATATATGGACCAGTGAGAAAACGTGTATAATTGCTTATAATTTCTAAAATTAGTTGTAGTGAAACTTACGAATTAATTTGGGAGATGTCTTATTAATGGGGGTGGGGAATATGAAAGTAACATGCCAACACAACATGGATAGTCTTATTTTCTGGGTATGGGCATGGTGCGTAGGATGACTGAGCCACGTTTCAGGGATGGGTCAATTTGGCATGACAATTTGACCTCTTGTTGGAAGGGCATCAATTTACTACTTTACGATGCATATGTTGTTGGAGAATGGCCTGTACCACGTTTCTCTGGTATGGCTGTGGGCTGCATCTTAGTTGTTCGTTTATGCCCAAAAACATCTTTTGATGCCCTTGATAAGTACATTTTACCTTAAGAAATCAGAATGGCTAACAAGTACTTTTTCTATACTTTGAACAAGTCTAGTTGTGCACTCTTTAACGTTCTTCACAATTTAACGAGTAATGGATTGTTTGCTAATACTCAGTCTTTTGTCAGGATATTGCCGGGACCTTGGCTTCAGAAGAGGCTGAAGATGCATCACAAGTGGCAAAGCTGCGATCAGCTCTTGAGTCTGTTGATCACAAAAGAAGAAAGGTGCACATCTTTGTTTAGAAAACATATTTGTCTCAACTTTCTATTTCTCTTTGTGGATTGGATCAGGGTTAATGAATGTTAATTGATTAAATACATTTTATTCAGTGACAGTATGCTTTTATTATCCTCATGTGACATCCATGAGTCTAGAAATACTTTAACATTTTCTGGTCATGCTAATAGATATTTATATAATCAGATTTTGCAACAAATGAGGAGTGATGTAGCATTATTAATGTTGGAAGATGGTGGTTCACCTGTTCGGAATCCTAATACTGCAGCTGAAGATGCACGATTAGCATCTCTTATTTCTCTGGATGCCATAATAAAGCAAGTCAAGGTTATTACTTCATGAAACTGTTATTTTTTCTTTTAAAATTTTGTTTATAATGTAAGAAAAAGTAAACCTGCAACATTATATATATTATACAGGATATAATAAGACAATCCTCTGTAAGCACCTTGAGTAGAAGTAAAAAGAAAGTGATGCTCTCATCTCTAGATGAACTTGCAGAGCGGATGCCTTCTCTTCTTGATATTGACCATCCTTGTGCTCAAAGGCAAATTGCTGACACTCGTCGTGTGGTTGAGGTACATCAAACTTTTTCATTTAATACCTGAAGGTTAAAGCTTTAACATGTACGTTGATCAGGTGAATGAGTTGCATGAGTTTCTTGCTCTACATGATGGTTGCCAGTAGCCTAGGACATCATTGGCTTTCTTAAATGTCTCAATTAGGTTCAACTTGTAATTTTCAAGGCATAGGTTTAAAGTGACCATCAAATCTCGGAGAATGATAACACCAAAGATGATATAATGAAATGGCCTTCATTTAAAATTTGTCTAGAAACAGATGAACTCTTTTAGTTGCCTTGTGGAGAAAAAAATGTTTTATTTGAAGTAAAATGAATGCTAATCCTTCTTGTCAGGTATATTGTATCTGTTAAGGTAAAAAAAAGCATTAGTAGCTTATGGGTTTAGTGACTGAAATGCTCTTTAAATTTATAGCGCTTCTGGTTCTGTTTGCATTTCTATTTGGTTGAAGTTCACATACTTGCCCCCTCTAATTGCCATTATGTCATATATTGGTGCAGTCAATACCTGAAGAGGATGACAGTATTCTTGAAGCATCCAATGCTCGCAAACCATCTGCAGATATGGGTTCTGGTACTGAAACTGATGTGGCACAGTGGAACGTATTGCAGTTTAACACGGGCTCAACAACCCCATTTATAATAAAATGTGGAGCAAACTCAAATTCTGAACTGGTCATCAAAGCAGATGCCCACGTTCAGGAACCAAAAGGCGGCGAAATAGTGAGGGTGGTACCGAGACCGTCTGTTTTGGAAAATATGAGCTTGGAGGATATGAAACAAGTATTCTCCCAACTTCCCGAGGCACTAAGCTTGCTTGCATTAGCAAGAACAGCAGATGGTACACGAGCTCGTTATTCTCGACTGTACAGGACTTTGGCGATGAAGGTTCCATCACTAAGGGATCTAGTGGGTGAGCTTGAAAAGGGAGGAGTACTAAAAGATGTGAAGTCATGAATGGTGAAGGGTGTGTAGAAATTGTTGCTTGCCTTGTGAAGGAGTTCCAGTGAGGTATTTGTTATTGTAATCTATTGTGCCATTTTATTATATTAACGGAAAAGTGAGCTCTATAAACTCAACGTGTAATCTATTAGTACTCATTGTATCTTTACACGCATTGATCATTGCTGATACTAATCGCAATTTTGTGTAATCTATCAAATGCTGCGCTTGTGCATCGCCTACGCCTTATGAATGGAAATGGATCACTTAATTTTTTAACCATGGATGCAAGTCTTGTTGGTTGTGATATGTATATATATATATAAAGTTTTACGCTTTTTGTTTAATAATTTGACGTTGACGTAATTGTTTTAGTAATGTATTGTAGCAATAACTCTATACTAAGTTATATCTGAACAGTTCTGATTATTGGTTTGAGCTAGATTGTATCTAATTAAAGTTAGATTGTAAAGTTCAAACTTCAATGTAATGATTTTTATTCATTCATATGTTAATGGGTAACAAATTCAATCAATCTTTTCTATCCATTTGTAATTCATTAGGAGATACGTATGGTTAACCTAAGTTATCATACAAAAATTCCAAAATCAATAATTAAATAATCATATAAAATATAATAATCACGTTTCCAGTTGCACAATATTTCAATTTTCAACTGTTTAAATACTAGTCAATGCATTTAATTTCATGTAATTGTTTAACAAGAAGAATACTGCAGTACAGTATAGAGTTATAATAGAAAAAATAATGCTATATCCACTAACAACAAAAAATCATACAATCCACTAACTGACTTGATAGATTTTTCTTATTGTCATATCAGTTTCAAAAATAAAAAATAAAAAATTTTAAAATTTTAATTGTTAGTAGTTGGATTAGTACATCACATATCTTTACTCTAAATCTCTAATATAGAAAATGACAAAATGTCATTGCCTTCGTAACCTAATTTTAAAAAAGCTAATTTCTTCTCATATTTTTCCCTCGCTTTCTCGGAGATCCACTGAGTTTGAGCAGAGCAAACACTTTTGCTCCAAATCAATGTCGTAAAAATGTCAGTATCGTCCATAACATGCAAAAGATTAACCTTATTGAGCATATCTGCTGTTTTCATTCAGCTAATCGGTCTCTCTCTCTTCGTCTTCGGCTTCTTCCCCGTCAAACTAGCTCTCTCCGGCGTCAGGTACTATTTGCAACACTTTAATACTTAACATGTATTTATTTTTTATTTCTCTGTTTTTCAATTTGATTTGTTTTTTGATAGCGGTCCCGAGTCTTATCGTGCACCAGCATGTGATTCCAATCACAATCACACTCACACTCACACGTCTCTGCCTCCTCCTCAACTTAGATCACTTTATCAGGTTTAACTCAGTCTCCTTTTTATAATTTATTGTTTCATCAGTTTACTTTTTATTTTGTAAAATTAACTGGAAATGTGTTCATAATGTAGGATTTATCAGGGATTCCCCCATCCTTTGATCGGCTAATTTTTATGGTATGTTTATAATTTAAATGCTACTGGTTATGTTACTAAAATGATATTCTGTTGTTTAGTTTTTGATTGCATGCTGATTTTTAGCAATTTAACGTCATGGGGTATTATACCCTATTCCTATTGATCCCAGTAACATTACAGGGAATTTCTTGTCTTGGTAACCTTTGTACTTTACACTTGTAACATGGAATGCCAACTTATAACATAACATAACATTGCAAGTCAACTTAAAAAAAAACATAACATTCCAAGTTGACAATTACTGTTATTTAAGTTTGAAGTTGCATACTACAACTATAAAGTTGTGGAAACCAATTTTTCTTTGATATTATCAGGACTTTGCATCGTGGTATGACTCTATTCATGTAGGCAACAATGCCAATTGCTAAATCCATATTTGTTATTTTTATTTAGAGGGATTTTTGGTTTGTTTTTGAAGTTTATGTTAGTTTAGGTTATTGATGGTCTTCCAGCAGAGTTTGTTCTGGGCAAGGATGGTAAGCCACCGAGAAAGGCTTTCATGGAAGCAATGCCATATACTCAGTCACTGTTAGCAAATGGAATGGCCATTGGGTACCATGCAAAGGCTGCTCCTCCAACTGTTACAATGCCGCGTTTGAAGGTGAGGGTCATTTTCCAAAATTTTCAAGGAATTATGCTTTTATGGTTCCTCTCAGCCCTTATTAATATATAATTGTAGGCTATGGTTTCTGGGGCAGTTGGAGGATTCTTGGATGTGGCTTTCAATTTCAACACCCAAGCTCTATTAGATGATAATCTTCTTGGTCAGTTGAGCATTCATGTTTGAGTTGCTAATTGACTGCATGAAAGTTACATTTTGTTGACTTGTTGCGGGCGGAGGGTGCTAGGAATGTGAATCACTTGTTCTTACTTTTGTGTTGCAGGGCAGTTTTTAAGTATTGGTTGGAAAATGGTGATGCTTGGTGATGAAACATGGCTTAAGTTGTTTCCTGGGTTATTTACAAGGCAAGATGGAGTTAGCAGTTTTTTTGTAAGTTGAACTTTATTGCATGAGGTGAAAATTCTTTTAACTAGTCTGAATTTGTTGTCATTCCTTTTTTACCTAAATTTCATGTGCATTGTCAATGTTAGCTTGCTGACATTCTTCTGGATCTCTTAACTGCAGCCGGTATGGTGGAAGCTTGATTATGATGATTGAACTTAGATGTAACATATTCTAAGTAATATTTTTAACCTTCTAAAAGCTGTGGGATGTTCTACACTTCCTAACTATGTGGCCTTAGTTTTACTGTTGTTTTTCATGTCTTTAACTCTGGCGGAGCATTTGTGCTTGGTCAATGTTGAAGTAATGATTTTTTTTTTTTTTTTTTTTTTTACAATGCGATTAGTTGTTAATGTTTCTTAAAGTTAGACATATTGGATTGGTGAGTTTATTTGCTATCATTCACCATTCTAAGTTTCTTTTTTGCAGGTGAAAGATACTGTACAAGTTGATCAAAATGTTTCTCGACATCTAGGGGATGAGCTTAGCAGAGATGACTGGAATCTTTTGGTTTGTCTTTCTTTCTTGTTAACCAAAATATACTGCATTGCCTTTGTCTCTTAGTTAAGTTTTAGCATGTTTTCCTTTTCTGGTTTATGGTTTTGATTATTATTGTTCATCTATATTTGAGAGGAACATTTTCCTCTTTTAAGAAGGCTCTTGTTCTGTACTGTTGTAACATATACTGGAACCACATTTCCAGATTCTTCATTATCTCGGATTGGATCATGTTGGACATATTGGTGGTCGCAACAGGTAATGCCTCATCAAGTTGTGACAGAAAGAATAATAATTTTCCTCTTCCAATTTGGTATTTTCAGCTGCATTTTGATGTTTGTTCATTTCCTTAGTGTCTTGATGGCCCCAAAACTTGTGGAGATGGATCAAATAGTGAAGATGATTCACACTAGTATTATTCAGACTCAAGAAAGTGATCAGGGCAATACGCTTTTGGTTAGAGCTTTTTTATTTTTTATTGTTTCTAATAATACTCTTGAACTATGGAAACAAATTGATGTATGCTTTCAGAATACTGGAACCCTTCCATTTTGGGAATAGTACTCGCTATTTAAATCCTGAAGAAAGTATTCACTATTTATCATGATTATTTGGTCTGTTTGAGAATTAGAATCTACTGATGTCTCTATTCCGTTATATAGGTGGTAGTGAGTGATCATGGAATGACTGAGAGTGGTAATCATGGGGGCTCTTCATTTGAAGAAACGGATTCCTTAGCTCTCTTTATTGGCCTGAGAAATCATGTTTCTGATTATGCATCAGCCACCAACAACACAGCTTACCAGGTAATGCAACTATAAAATTTGGCGGCTATATATTGCCATAATTAACTGAATTGTCAAGCTTTCCTTTTATTTTCCTCGTAATGTACCAGAAATTCCTTTTAATAACCTGGCCTAAGATGCTGATGCAGGCATGAGACTGATAATTTCTTCTTTCGCCTATAAACTAAACTCTTAATGATATAGATGTACTGCAGATAGGTAAGAGATAAGAATACGATTCTTCAGTTTTTAATATCTGAAGTGTGCAAGTAGTTCATGATGTTGGATATCTTAAGTGTGTAATGAGTAGAAACTTCGAGCATATTATATTTGTTTGTCACAGAAAAAAGTACTCATTGGCACAGGATCTAAGCAATTAAAATAACTTCTTGAGTTTTCAACTCTATATCCTGTTCGACTATAAGGCCTTTATTTTTGAAGGGCACTTTTAGCAATGTTTATGGTGTAACCATGTGAGTTTCTCTTTTATGTGCTTCTCCTATGTACTTTCTGCACTCAGGCTATAACTTATCTTTCCAAGTGCTTTTGCTGTCATTGAAAGTTTCTCCCATTCTTATGCTGATCTTTAAAGAGGTTTTACTTGAATATCCCTTATATCAAATAATAGAGCTACGACTTCAACACTTGACCATCAAAAGCAGCATGTATATCAATAAACGGAGACAATATTATAACTGGGAAAATTCCAAACAGAATCACTCTCTAGTTTGTTTTTCTTTGGTCTATGTTATGCATCTAAACAATTTTTCAGCAGATCACTCAAATAGACTGAGGTGGTAACCTTTTTCAATAACTCACCTTTGATTCTTGTGATCCAGGTTGACATTGCACCGACATTAGCTCTTCTGTTTGGTGTGCCAATTCCGAAAAACAATATTGGTGTCCTGATTTCAGAAACTTTTGATTCATTGAAAGGTTCAACATCTCTCTCTCGTGGTTTATTCTGAAAACATCAGAAAAAGTAAAAGGGAAGAAAATATAAATTAAAAGAAAGAAAAATTAATATGGTTTTTTGAGTGTCAACCTTCTGATATATGCTGGAGTTTGTGGTATATGTTTTAAGAGACATCCTCAAAGAATTTAAGTGACAATGCCTAAAAGATTATGAAACCATGCTGTCCTATTCTGTTGCTTCAGAATTGTTGAATAAAATAGATCTCTTCAGAATACTTGAGCTTGGGAGCCCCTATTGTTTGTTTTATGACATCGATTTTGGGTGGAATGGCTTTGGGAGTGTTTTAGGAAATTGACTTGTCTATCTTTAAAGATCAATTTTCATTAGGAATTGTAGAAAGAACATTCTTATGCAGATCAAGTTTCATCTTTTTATGTTTGCATATGATGTGAAGTACTCTGAATTTTTATATTGTTATTGTTCTTGATGAAATCAGATGATCATCGGCTGAGGGCACTGGAGTTAAATTCCTGGCAGTTACTCAGATTGCTGCAGGCACACTCATCAGGTTTATCATGTGGAAATATCCCATACAATGGTTTTAGTGATAGTAAAACGACTGGAACTACTGCATGCAATGGTAGTACCGAGAAGATGCTTTGCTGCTTGTATATGAAGGCTGCAGTTCTTCACAATTCCTGGAAGTCTAAGCAAGTTTCAGAGTGAGTGATTGATATAGGATATCAATTATTGTAGTAATCATAAAATGCAGCTCTTTACAAACTTTGCTGATACTCTTTGCTCATATCTTTGTAATTTATGTAAATAGATCTGATAGATGGGAAGTCTATAGCAGCACTTTTGCAGCATACCACAAGTTTCTGAAAACTGCAAGTGAGTGGTTATCAAGCAGAGCAACTGATGTATGTAATTTTTTTTAATCAGTTTCTGAGTTGACTAAGACTCTGTATGAAGAGATGAACTCTATTCAAGTTGTTTCTTCTTTGAGGGTTTCAGCAAGACATTTTGTTTTGTCCAGTAGATTATCTTTTTTTTTTTTTTTATTTCCTTTGGTTAATCTATATCTATTATTCTGCAGAAACCTGTTAACCTGCTTGCTTCTGGAGTTGCAGCAATGCTGCTATCATGTCTGATATTTTTAAGCCTTATACTTCGTATGTGTAGAGAAGTTAGCCTAGTAGAGAAGCAGCACCTCTCTGAATTAGGCAGTAATTCACAAAGGTGGCATTTGGATGAGACCTTTGTTTTGGGCGTGATCTTCATCCTTGTTGTAAGTATGACATCAAGTTCTATGGTGGAAGAAGAGCATTATATTTGGCATTTTATGGCATCCACATTGTATCTGGTGTTGCTTCGTAAAACAGCACAGTTGCTCCCAGCAGGAAGTAGGGTGTTCAGGGGACAGAACATAATGTCTTCTGTATTTGTGCTTCTTATCTCTGGAAGAATATTGAGAGGCTGGCATCAAGGTGGTGTGAACTGGACTTATCTTCCTGACATTTCTAAGTGGCTTGAACAAGGCGGTAATGATCTTGTAAAAGCAGTTCAGCTTGTCTCAGGTGTTATGGCCATATGTGTAGGCTTATATGCTCTATCTTTTTTTGGATCAAAGAAAATAATTGTTCAAGTGGTTGGAATTAACTTCTGTATTGCTGGATTGTTGGTTTTGCAATATGTCATGAGGTATCAGGACAACACATTTGTACCATCTAGTGATGGTGCCACCTTATTGGCACAAATTATCTATGCCATTCTGGGAAGTGCCACTGTTGGTACTGTTGTAGTCATACCCTGGCTTATTCCTATTCACCTATCTGACATGGGCTCAAGTCATAATATCTACTTATCAACTTTGGTTCCTAGCGACATAAAAGAGAAGTCTCCACTGATGGAAATAAGAGATTCTTTATATGTTATTGGGTGGTCCTACATCTTATGCTGGTGTCTTCTGCAGTTGTTGCTCCAACAGCCAATAAATTCAATGCCTATATTGTTGCTTCTTGTCCAAATCATGACCAGCATGCTATATTTTTCATACAGTCGTTTGCATCATAAGGAATGGGTTGAGGTGCGCAACTACATCTTGTTATGTCTAAACGTACATAAATTAGTTTGGAAAATTTGTTCTGTATTATAATGAATATGTGTTGGGTGAGAATAAGTTAGGATGTATTTTATGTTTCAAAATTAGCAACTTATTTCATTTACTCTATTGTATTTCAAATACTAATTCTCTGCAACTTGTTTCATTCTTTTAGGTTTCTGCCTTGTGCTTTTTGGGAATGGCTGGCCATTTTGCTCTAGGGAACAGCAACACTCTAGCCACGATTGATGTTGCTGGGGCTTTTATTGTATATTTCTCTTCTTCTGGGCATATATTTTCCTTTTTCCTGTTTTCCCTCCGACACCCTCTACCAGTATTGTTATTCAAGTAGCTCAATATTGTTCTTTACCTTTTCAGGGAATCTCAAGTCATTCAACGCTTCTTTCTGGTATTTTAATGTTCAGTATCACCTATGCATCCCCCATGTTAGCTCTTCTTAGCATGGTAGTGTACATGTCTGTGAAGAGCTATCTCGTTGTACCCCAGAATGTAGATTCTGGACATCTTCTCAAGACAATGCTTGGTTTTCCTTGTTTGGTTCCACTGGGCATAAACTCGATTCTATTGACCGCATATACCATCGTCTTGCTGTTAATGAGGAACCATTTGTTTGTTTGGAGTGTCTTTTCTCCAAAGTAAGTCTCACTGAACTCAAATCATTGTTGACTGATTCATGAATCATTGTAGTGTTGTAAAACGTTTGTTGGATTTACTTTTGGTACCATGGTGAAAGGTGCTGCTAAATGATCTAAGCAAACTATAACCTTTTTCTTATAAAGCTAATTTGCGCATTTTCAAGGGTAAAGAAACTTAAGTAATTGCTCCATTAGAATTTTTGAAGGGTAGAGAATATCCTTGAAGGGTATGTGATTTAAATAATTTCTTGGATGACATTTACAATTGAATTTAAATTGTTGTAAAACTAATGGTTGCATTCTTCCTTTAGGTACCTATATGTCTGTGCTACAACTGTCTGCATCTACATCGGGGTCACTATTGTGGCTGCGACTGGGATATACGCATATTTGGTGCTGGTAATGCGGAAAATGAAGCGATTTTCAATTTTCAATCATTAACGATACAAGATAGCGCTTGAAGCACTAAGAAACCAAATTTTGATAGTGTGGAGTAGAAAAACCCAATTTCGATTCTTTCAGACAAACACCAACTCATATTAACCATTTTGCTTTTCTTCTATTTATAAGATTAATGTCAATAGTGATGTGGCAGAACATTGAAACATTTAATTGTAATGGAAATATATCTTATTCATTGATTACACTTGATTTGCAAGGATCCTTTTCAACATTGATTAGAAATATTCATGGCAATAACTGCCGCACTAAATTCGGCAGATTCTCCAAGGTGACAATCTCAGAAGGTGGCGCAAGAGACCAGATCAAGTTCATTGAATCATTATCCGCGAAAAAGCTTAGTGTTCTTGTAGGATCCATAGATGTGGATATATGTTTGAGATATTCCAATTCATAAGATCGAAATATTCCACATGTTCCATAATTCAGTTTCTTTGTATAGGATTTCATTACAATCCTTCGTTTGTACAGGTGGGATTAGAGAAAGAAAGATGAAAAGTTATTGGTATTTCTTGTCATTTTATCTTTGTTTTAAAACCCAGATTGGACTGATTAATTTGATCGGTTCGACAGGGGCTTGACAGCCTCTCTGGTCTAGTTTAGGTTTTAGGGGGGGTTTTACTATATTGTAAACTTATAGGTAGGATTTTTTTTTTTGGCAATATTTCAAAAATTTAGAGACTAATTTGTAATTTATTTGGGCATTTTGAAACAAATTAAAATTTAAGGGACTAATTTAATTTTGTAGGGATATTTTGTAATATACTAAAATTTAAGGGACTATTTTAATTTTAAAAATATTTTTGTTGTTGATGTCACCCGGTTGGACCGGTCGACTAGTAATCCGGTCACTTGTCAGGTTTCACAATAGGTTGGGTTTTAAAATAATGCATTTTATGGTTAATTTTTAACCACATAGTTAGTCGATAGTATTGGTATATTTCACTCTTTGTATTATAATTATGTGGCTATATGACTACCTGTATGACACCATTAAATAAGTTATGGTTTGACTAAATCAAGACATGAAGGATAATATGACCAAAGTAGCCAAAATACTGCTGATATTGTTCATCAATAAACAAAATACTAGCCACTACTACAAAAAACGATAACATAACATTCAGAAACATAGTAATAATAATGAATAATAATACAAGCACACTCAATGAGAATAATATGTATATGATACAAAGTACCCAATGACTAATAGAGCTGTGGCATTCTGGTTTAATTCGATGGTGGGTGGAGAGAGAATGGAATGAAGGGATTGTGGTGGGAATGGTAGGAAGAGGAGTTGAAGGCAATGGAGGTAGAGTCAGTTTTGGGAGTGTTGGATTTGGCAAGGGAGGCAATGTTGGTTTTGGAAGAGATGGTTGAGTTGGGAATGGAGTTGAAGGAAGAGGTGGAACTGTAGCTTTAGGTAATGTTGGGATCGATGGCAATGGAGGCAATGTGGCCCTTGGCAGTGGTGGAAACTGTGGGCAATACCGGAGGTGGTGCCGCTGGTGTGTCCGAAAGATGGCGAGCTGCGAGGCTCATATCAAAACTTGACAATGATAATGCAAAAAGCAAACTTAAACATAAGGAATGGTTAAAAGCTGCAGCCATGATTAATTAGAAGGAATTGTGAATATGAAGACTGGAGAAGTTTGTTATTGTGTTTTGAGCTGAAGAAACAGTTTGATAGATTATATTATAGAGTAAAAAAGTTGAAGGGCTCATGGAGTTTGATAAGATGTAGGTGGGGCACTGTGGTTAGTTTAATTCTCACCTAGACGATACTAATTCTTTGTTGAAGGAATTATGCATGCAGGTCACTTAGACGATTACAAATTTACAAGATGTTTCCATTAATCCCTTTTATATATCGAAAAGAAACTAGGAATTTTGGCTACTAAATACAAATGGCATGGGTTCCAAATTAAAAACCTTGTTCTCTGTTGTTGAATTTCACATGTCACCCCAATCTAGCTCTTTCACACAAATGAAGAAGAAATAATATTAGAGTTATATTATGATTTGAAAATCCTCATGCCCAAAGTCAACACATGAACAAACAGATATAAATGACTCACATGTCACTGTTCAATTACTTATTTTATATTAATCAATCAAATCTTTGTACCCTTTCGTTTATATTTAGCATTCCTTCTTGTTATTTTTGCTTGTAGATTTCGTTGGCAGGTTTTCATATGAGCCTCGCAGCTCGACATTTTTGGACACCCCAGCCGCCCCACCTCAATTTTGCCTACGATTCCACCGCTGCCAAAGCCACATTGCCTCCATTGCCATCGATCCCAACGTTACCTAAAGTACACTTCAACTTCCTTCAACTCCATTGCCAACTCAACCAACTCTTCCAAAGCCACGTTGCCTCCCTGCCAAATCCAACACTCCCCAAACTAACTCTCCCATTGCCTTCAACTCCTTTTTCCATCCCTTCTATTCCAACCATTCCAACACAATTCCAAAAATCCTTTCGTCTCTCCACCTCCATCCAAGTGAACCACTGGTTCTTAGGATGCACAGCTCCATTAAACTCTACAGATCTGTCAATGTTGTATTTGAGTGTGCTTACAGGAATGAGCGGCCGTGTCTCACACATTCATTAGTTTGTCTGCGAGATTACTTTCTCATTCAAATTATTTTTTCTTTGCTTCTTTGTTATTGTAATAGAGTCATACTTCTATTGTTATTCATTGCGCTATGTAATAATTAATCATTGATATATTATTTCTTTGAGAAATTAAAATGTCCTGAGAGCAAGATTTTCTTATGTTAATCATAAATTAAAAAAAAATAAAATAAAGAGTGAACAGGTGATGATAATAATTGCATTGTACTTATAATGCGTTCCTTGCTAATTAGATGAATTTCATTCAAAGTAAAGATGATTGTTTATTCTTCTGGTTAAGTTGGAAGTTACTTTTTAATCTAATGTGTACAAAGGATATTGAACTTAATAATAATGTTACATTCTTAAATTAAAATATAGTGAGAGCATAACAGTAAAATTTAGAATGCCCATGATAACTTTGTTGGAAGAAGAGATTTTAGCTCAAGGCTAATTAGGAGGAATTTGAGAAGGGAAGTGTTTTGGAATGGAGGATTACTATTGTTTCTCAAATTTGGCTTATACAAATGGCTAGGGGTCACCCTCTTTTATAGTGCTCAAGGAGCCTTCTAAACTCCAAACTCTCAAGTATCATGTATCTTAATAAATATCATTTATCAATTTCCACAATTAATAGTTATCTAACAGCTCTTTAATAAATAAAATATTTTTATAATATCTTTATTAGCGTTGACGGTGGGCCGTGTTGGCCCACGTGTTGGCACGACCCACCTCAAAAAAAGCATGGCACAAAAAAAAGTACAGTACGACAAGACCCATGATCATGATTGTGGGCCTTAAAAAAGGCACGCGGGTCAACACGACTTGCTAAAAAAATTAAAAAAAATAGCCGTTAATAACGACTATTTCACGTTAATTTTTTTTTTAATTTTTTCCTATAAATACCCCATTATTTCTCTTATTTTTTAATACTCCAATTCAAATTTTCATTTTCCTTTCTCTCTCATTTTGTATTTGTATTAATTAAAAAAATATATAATCACTATGAAATATAATAAAATAATGAGACATTGAAATATTAATTGAATTTCAACATTTTTTATTACTTATAATTATAAGTTATAAATACAAACTTAGAAATTAGAATTAAGAATTAACATTAACGATTACATCTCCATTAGAAATACAAGCATACAAATACAATACAATGATCTCAACTTTGATTTTAGTCTACAAATATTCAAAGAACTTAATGAAAATGAAGATGTATGATATTTGTTTGATCAATCATTTACTTTGTAATTTATGATTATAACTTATAAGTAATAAAATTCAATTAATATTTCAATGTCTCATTATTTTATTATATTTCATACTGATTATATATTTTTTAATTAATAAAAATACAAAATGTCATAAATATAACATATAAAATATTCTTATAATAATTATTGATAATAAATCAAAATTATCAAAATTTATAAATATTAAAAAAATTTGCAGGTTGGCCCACAAAACACGCAGGTTGGGCCGCGTGCTAGGCCCACGACATGACATGCTATATAACGGGCTATGCCATGGGCCTTCATATTTGGAAGGCCGACAAGGCACAAATTTCTACGGGCCTTAGCACGGCACAACCCACGACACGATAGACCTTGAATTTTTAGGCATGACATGATACGACACGACCCATTGCTAGCTCTAATCTTTATATAGTAGTTACAAAGCCTATTATTTGGACTAAATAAATGGGCCAAATATGGGTCTTACATTAGGCTTGGGAAGAAATATTAAGCTAACATTCTATATGGGTTTAAGTGATACCCAAATAGTCTTGGGCTCAAACTAAGTTTAATATCCAACACCCCTCCTTAAACTTGATTTGGACATAACTTGGAGTTATGCTCTAAGCCTTTTGAATACTTCATGCTTGAGTGGCTTGGTAAAGATGTTGGTAATTTGATATTGAGACTTGACTTACTTCAACACCACCTCCTTGCTTGCCACATGTTCTTTGAGAAAATGATACCTTGTATCAATATGCTTACTTCGATCATGGAACATAGGATTATGAATCTTTGTAGCTTCTTCTCGTGGTATATTAAGCTCCTTCATCAAACTTCATAGCCAAACTGCATGACAGACATACGAGGTAGTAGCCACATATTCAGCTTAACATGTTAAAAGTGTGGCAATCAGTTGTTTCTTAGAAGTTCTAGTGAAAGTTGAATCTCCCATGAAAAACATGAACCCTGTAGTGCTTTTTCTTTCATCCTTGTCTCCAGCCTAGTCATTATCATTATATGCAACAAGTTAATTGTTAGGGAGGAGTAAAATAGGCCAAAGTCTAGTATTCCTTTGATGTAATGTAGGATCCTCTTAGTTGTCTTCATGTAAGTGACTGTTGGCGTTTCCATGTAACAACTATAAGCCCAACTACATATAGAATATTTGGTCTCATGCATGTCAACCACTGCAAGCTTCCCACCAAGCTCTTGAAAGTTGTTGCATCTACCCTTTCTCCATCATCATACCTTGACAGCTTGATTCATATTTCATGGGTGTGTTTATTGGCTTGCACATCTCTATGTTAAATTTCTTGAGCA